TGCATTGCTGCCGCGGGGACAAGGTCCACATACACCTCTCGCCACTACCACCGTCTGTGCATCCTCACCGCCACGCTGAGCCAGCGCGGCGGTGAGTTGCACCTTGGGACACCACCCACCTACTATCTGTTGTGGCCTGGTTCGCCCGCGAGGGACTCACAATGTCGATTTCGGCCCCGGCCGGGGAGCAGGCCGGGGAGGGGAGGAGGTAATGTGTGTTCGTGTGTATGTATGTAGAAAAAACCATCTACTTCAACTACCATATCTACCAGCAGCATGGTACCACACAAAGCATAGCATGCATGTCATCTAAGTTTTTTTTTTTTCCTCACATTATTGGACTCTGTCGTGTGCCCTCTGGCCCCCATCCTCCACTTCTACTAGCGAGACGACCCAACCGGGGTCACATTGGAGGGGGGGGCTGGACCCCCTCCCGCGGTTCCTGCCTGAGATATTTCTATCGCGAGAAGGGTACAGCAATCCCTTCCCTCGCGACTTTTGAAGTCGATTATGGTTTACTATCAACGAGCTTTGCAGCGCGTCGCTTTCAACTTAGACCAGGATTTGTTTAGTGAGAAAAAAACTCAACCTGCCGGGACTTGAACCTATGACCTGGCCCTTAGTAGGCGGCGAGGTTATCCACTAGACCACCGGTATGTATGTGTATGATACCAGAAAAAAGTTCACAACGACCACAGCAGCAGCAGGTACATTACAGTCGTTTCCGCCGACCGGAATTTTGGGAAGAGATAATCGGAGTGCTCTCCGCACTAGACATGGAGCGTCAGTGTGGTGTGCTTGCGGGAGGGCAGTGAAATGTGCTTGCGGGTGGCCAGAACTACGTGCTAGAGGGGCATGACTGCTGTCCAGCCGTCGTTCTATGTAATGTACAATGCATGGGGCTCGGCAGGAGGGGAGAGGGTTGAATAATACGAAATCGCCCCCCCCCCCCCCCNGCGACTCGCCGAATATCTCACGGCGCTTCGCGCTTGGTGATGTGAGAGCCTGGTCCGGTGAGAACCCGGCGTGCTCCGTCCCGGCTTTGTAGGGATGTGAGGTCAATGGTCTAACGACTACGGCATGCACGACTATGAGTACACCCCCCCCCGCCCCCCGCCCCCCTCTCCGTTTGGTCCTTAATCCAGTTTTGAGCAGTGCATCAACATGTGAACGTGACGCACCCCCTTGTTCCGACGCATACGCAAGCAGCAGGCGACCAAGATAGCAGTTGCAGCCTCAAAGGCAGCGGCGGCGGCGACAGTAGCGAAGGCAGCAGCATCGGACCGTACGTGGTGATGACCCGCAAGAGGCGATTGCTGCAGGACACGGCAGCGAGGATCGCGGTCGGGGTCGTCCCGTACTGGGAAGGCGGTATCGATCTGGGAGGGGATATCGACGAAGAAAAGAAGGGGACACCGAGGCGATCTCGCCGAGGTGCGTCATTTTTTTCCTTTTCTTTTTTCGGCCGTTTCTTGCTTCCAGCACCCGTTTGTTGTCGACGCCAGTCTAGTCGTTGGCCAGGCTCCTAGTGGAGCCGGTTCGTGCTGAAAAAACAGAAATGCTCTACGGAATGTGTGAAAGAGGGAGGGGGAAGTGGAGGGAGAGAGAGAGAGAGGGAGAGCGAGAGAGCGGGGGGCGATAAAGAGCCCCTAGTGGGTCTAGGTATTCCTTTGTCCGTGACAATTTTTGAGTTTGTTTTCTTGTATTGCGGGTGACAACTCCCATTTATGCTGCTCATAGTACGGGATCGCGGCTTTGGTTCTTTTGCGTTGGCCGAATGAGCGCACAGCTCACCCCCCAAGAAGACTTACTCAAGTTCCATGCCTCTTCCGCAGCGGACTGTAAGTCTCATTGAAGTACCAATTCTCGCGTACCCTCTTCTTAGACCAGCGGTTGTTCGCAGAACAACATGTTGTCCGCTTTCTGCACCATCCGTCCTTACCCATAGGCAAGGCACGCCGCAAGCATCAGGACTCCGCGCCTATCGAGCAACCGAAAATGGGCGTCAATCTCCCGCCGATGGTTAGCACGAGAGAGGGGAAGCTTCTGAGCGTCGAGGTGCATACAAGATATTATCCGCAGACGCGTTCGCCCTAGTTGCTTGTATGAGGTTGTCGATTTCGTTGTTCGGCAGCAGCGTTGGTAACGTGCTGTTTTTTTCTCGTTTCGTCTCTCGTCGTTGAATAGCGTGTGCGCTCGTTGTATTTTTTGTACTTCGGAGTATTAGAGTAAAGTTGATAGCGTGCAGCAACGATGGGGGTTGCACCGGAGTACGCTAGTGGATCAGCCCCCCCGCTCGATCCGTACCCCCTCCCGGTGTCGCCATCGGGGTTGGGTTTTCGTCGCTTGGCAATGACGTTGTATAACAAGCCAATCCACTTCGTGTAACTCGGCAACCAGGTGACCGTTTGTTTTTTTACCTCTGTTTTTTTTTGGCGGTAACCATAATGGTGGTCGAGTAGATCATGTTGTGCGGGGTCGAGAACCCTCACTCCGCGCAAGGGGGATGATCGCACCACGTAGTGTTGAAAATGGTCAAGCACCCTCGAGGCAGTAACACAGTGCTTACAGCTGTCTCAGGAAGTGAAAGCACCAGAAAATAAATTAATTCATACGCAGCTGTCATCCGTATGCAAGGAAGTGAGCACAAGATGCCGAACACCCTTAGCAGGATGCAGCGCACCCTTCATGCGACTCGCCGAACACCTCACGGCGCTTCGCGCTTGGTGATGTGAGGGCCTGGTCCGGCGAGAACCCGGCGTGCTCCGTCCCGGCTTTGTAGGGATGCGAGGGCAATGGTCTAACGACTCCGGCATGCACGACTATGAGTACACCCCCCCCTCGATCCGTAGTCGCCGTCTTGCGCATGGGCAGGTAGAGCGTTGCGCCATGTTTCGAGACGTTCTCGAGACTCGATTATCACGCTAACATGACCCCGATGCGCTCGCTGCTGTTTTACAACATCAGTGTTAGCAATTCTCTCACGACACCCGCCCAGTTAGACCTCCAGCTCCCGCCCTTAGCTCTGCTGTTGAGGCCGTCCTCATCGAATCTACGTGCTTTCTCGCAAGGAGGACCGGCTTTCTATTTCCCCTGCGGAAAAAATATATTGTGAAATGCCCAACAGAGTTCCAACATGAGTCAAACGTACTCATTTTGGGAAATCCCCCCCTTCCTACCCCCGCGGCGTGCGCAGGTGTTCGGTATCGGTGTTTTGGACCACCTGCGGAGGGAAGACAGAGGTGCGCGCGTCGGGCACTGCTCCAGCGGCTACGTGTGCGGGTGAGGACCCCGGAATAACTCTTAAACGCGCTGTAGGGATGAAGTCAGGTTTTTGTCGTGTCTCTCAAGGGTTCCATATATAATGCCATACGGAAGGAGGGCTGCAAACGCGCCGTACACTGAGGCTTCTCTCAAGTGGGGGATACAGTCAGCATGGAGTGGCACAACTGTCGCGCTTGTTTTACTCGTTGTTGCCCTTGCACGGTTCGGTTAGCCGATGCGCACTTTTGCTCGCGTCATTCTGACCCGGGTCTCCTTTCGCCTCATTTCAACAATGCTCTCGGCTGTACGCTCAACTCCTTCTTCCGTCTCTTCTAGGAGCCCCGTTTCCCGAGGCAAGGAAGGCAACCGGTGGTGCCAGACGCCGGTGCGGGGGTCGCTAGAGAGCAGGATGGCGTGCATGCACCACTCGCACCGACGGAGGGCGGGAGGCGCGGGCCCGTCCAAGGAGCAGTTGCGGTACATGATGCTTGCAGGTGACTTGAGCGGAGGACCCTGAAATTCTGGTGGAGAACCCGCGGGCAGTACTAGTTTGCATCGCTGGCTTGAGTTGGACCGGATTTCTGCTATTCCATGTTTATGAACTAGATTCCGAGCGCATTTCTGAGTCGTGAAGTCGGTCCCTTCCTCGTTGAAAGTGGAAAGCGTCTCGTTGCTGGAGTAAGGGAGGATGCTCCATTGCACGAGGACCTAAGGCCTCTGTCTCACCAACAAAACAAGCAACAATTGAGCACTCCCGGTTCGCTCTCAGCGTTCCGCCGCCGCCGCCGCCACCACCGCTCCAACCGATCCATTGGATGCTGCCGCGAACGCAATTCCATGGACCGACGGGTGTCAGACGAGTTTTTCGACCGGCAGTCGGGGGACATCTGCTGGCAGCGTGTCGTGTCCTACCTCAGGGCGCGGAAGAGTCCTCGCGAGTTAGCCCAGCGCCGGCAGGTGCGTTGATTTCGTCGCATGGCTATCGGCGAGGACTCTTGCAGTACCAGAGCAACAGCAGTATCGATGACGTAGGCATGCCATTATTCGTGCTCCGGTCCCCCCGCGATACAAGATCGTTGTTCATGACACATGTGCACACCACGGAAGAGCGTCCAACGAGTGAAGGTTGCCCCACGGGGGCGATTCGCCTACTCCTCGCACCCAGAAACTCTTCCGAGAGCCCTACCCTACAATAACGTCGTCGCTGATACTACGCACGGATTGTTAGATCGTCGATTTTCCATGCGTGCCGGTTTCCCCCACCGACCTGGTGAATGGTCCCGTGAAGAGGTTGATAGGATGGGGGCAGCAAGGACTACCGCAAGCTGTTTTGAGTAGGAGGGTGCTGGAGTGGGGTTTGGTGGCATATTCTGGGCGTTTTTAACCCGTAGATCCATCGTGATACACCCACAAACCGGTTGCGCAATGTAGGGCTGCGTCATGGTCAGAGAGCTCATGATCTCGAGGCTTGACAAGCATTATCCTAAAGAGATGATAGTGCCGCAGAGTGTCGAGATCGATGAGCCTTTAGACACCACTCCCCCGTGGAGTTGCGTCCTGTCGTCACTCTCCCCCGTATCTTTGGATCGATGAACACGAACCACACCGTCCCGAAACATGCATCATATTCACGTATCCGTCGAAATGGTGCAACAGGTGCTAACCGCGGGCGACCGAGCCTTGGCGGTCGCCGACACTCAGATAGTCCTCCACGGGTTCGTGCAGTGCCTTTTCTTCTGGCTGGCAGCTTGTCGGTTGACGCGCCGCGGGTGAGTGCTACCCCCCGACAGGAGCTGCTCGTTGTGCGCTCGGGCTCTTGTTGCTTCCTATCACGTTGTAGATACCTTGCACCCCCCCCCCC